AAATTATTGATATTTATCGGAACGGTATCGCACCTTCTTTTTTAAACTGACGGTTCGAGATGACTAGTAGCCCAATATTTCATTGCACAACAGTTGTTGGGAGGCTGTCACAGGCTCTTTAATTCCTCATCTAACCAGGGTGCTCTAAAGTTCCTTACAGGCTGTTTTCTAAGTGGAGCATGTTTATCAATCACCTGCATAAATAACAAATTAAAGACATCAAGAGCATCATCTGGATCGACTTTCTCAAAAACATGTTTCCAACATATCTTTTGAACATCCTGTATAAATGACTCTTCACTAAAATATTTCATTGATCTCCTCACAATTACTTTTGGTCCAGCTTTTTGCACCTTTGTCTTTCTCACGATAATTATTAAATTATGATCAGAACACCCTACTGGAATTGATATTGCCTGAGAACATACATGGCTAAAATTAGTAAATATACTGTATGATCAATACAAGTTGCACTTTTTGACCCATCTTTCTTTATGCATATCCTAGTAGGTTTAGTCACCATTTGTACCAAGTTACATGTATTTCTTATTGTCTGCAGCTTGTTTAGGGCACAGTGCAACATATTCCAGTCAATATTTAAATCTCCGATAAAATAAATCTCTCTGTCAAGATCACAAACTTTATCTAACATTTCACATAATTTGTCTAAATAAATTAAGTTTGCATTTGGAGGTCTGGAACAACATCCTACCAACAAAGGTTTCAAGTGAGGTAAATTAATTTGCAACCAAAGTACTTCAATATCAGCAGACATCAAATCATATCTCACTTTAGCTGGTATTTGCTTTTGAATGTATACTGCCACCCCACCTCCATATGCATTCCTGTCCTTTCTAAATATTCTATATCCATCAATATCCACAGCAGCATCATTAAATGTGTCATCTAAGTGAGTTTCAGATATTGCTAACAAATGAATACCACATGATAATATTTCCTCTATCTCAGGCACTTTATTTCTTAGACTACATATATTTATATGAGCCAATTTAAACCCTTTACTTGGTAACTTATTCAACATTAAGATGGCTATTTAAATGTTATCTCTTTTTCACTTCCTATCAAAATGAGAGCTGAACTAAAACATACATGTAACACAATTTCAACCACACACACCATCACATACATAACCCAACATTTATCTGCACATAGATTGCTATAAATGTGCATACTCACTCGCTAAATTAGACAAGCCTCCCGGTAGCTCCCAAACATTTTTAAATAATAGTATGAAATAGATTCATGGTAATGTCTCGCAACACTAGATCTAATCAATACATCAAAATTACATTTCAGGAGGAATGAACAACAATAGAGACAAGTTGAAATTTGTCATCTGTCTGTAAATGTGCCCGAGTCTTAAAGCTGAATTATCCAAACGATGTGTTTGTACCCTCATAGACAAACAAAACTAATGGCTTAGTCTATTGAATTTTGTACAATTTGTAAAGAAAGATATTTGAAAATTGTATGGCCTCAATGTTGTCACAGTAATACCTCGTAAATAATGACATGATCATTTCCAAGTTGATAAGGATTGTCCATGCTCCATTAAACAATTGACCAGTGCATAATGGCTTGTGGGATACCAAAGGATACAACAGGGTGTCCTCTCGGTTCAGGCACAGCCTTTGAAATGAGACAGGCATCATCTGCCTGTTATGACATATTCGGCCTAGATGTTTAGATTGGGATTGAGACTCTTGGGGTCCTGAATTGGGACTCATCATGTGTTTCAATTATCTATCTAAAGACATGTGTGACCAAATGCAGAAGACAAGGTCTTTGATTTATGAACGCTGCGTGTGCTACAGTGTGCACCACCAGCTGTGTTCCCAGCCCCATTATCAGGTTCTATTCTTAGATTCCCAGTCAGCATCTGTCAGCATCTGACTGACCACCAGCTCACCTTTTAATCCAGCAGCATTCAATACACACAGGCAAAGCCTAAGGGACAGAGGAGTAGAGCGATAGATTTATATCGGAGGGCACTAGTGTCCGCCGGATAAGAGAGAGAGTCCAGAGGACAGGAGACGCAGTGGGGGAGTAGGAGTGGAAGTCTTAGACCACCCATTGTTCTCTGTCTAAGTCTCTAATCAGGGGAAGATACCCAGTCCAGACCCAAAGGTCAATCGTCATTAACGCTCCTTTCTTTCTCCCTTGCGCCCTTGCTCCCTTTCTTCTCCTTTTCTAAGCAGGGGGAGTCTGTCTGTGTATAGAGTGTCAGACAGAGACTAATGCTTGTGTTTATCTCCCAGATATCAGTTCCAATATCCTGCCTTGAGAGAGTGCACACGCAGACATATTCAGACACACGAACACACGCGAGCACACACTCTCAAACTCCAACATCCCCCTCTCAGAGATTCAGAGCAGTGGGTAATGGGGTATTCCATTAAGCGTCCTCTACTCAAGGGCAGAGAGGAAGGGAGAGTGGGGCGGAGGAAGAGAAGTGTGTGAATGAAGGGAGGAGGGTTGATGCATATCATTTATTTATTTAATTTCATGGGAAGTGTTGACAATCACCAGTTCTTTCCTTTTGAAGAGGTTTAGTATCATGAAACATTTCCTCAGCATTACTTGAAGTGCAAGTTGGTATTTATCATACAAAATGAAAATCTATCTTTTTGATTAGGGCTACATTTGACTTACTTAATTGTGTTAATGCCTCACTAACACCCCACTCTCTCTCTCTCTTGTCTCTGTCTGTCCCTGTCTCTTTTAGGAGGTTGACTCTGTGTTTACTCTGCTATCTGCTGTGCTCCATATTGGGGACATACGGTTTACTGCATTGACAGATGCCGATACAGCCTTCCCTTCGGACCTGCAGCTGCTGGAGAGAGGTCAGTACCTCCCCGTCACATACCCGTGGTCACATTTCCCCCCTGTGTGTAGGTGGGATAGTGCGGAAAGGAAGGGTGCATCACATCCGCTCAGCTTGTTTACCTCGTAGTCATCGTTCCTCCCCGCCTTGTAGTTCTGCTTGGCAGCTTGCCAGCACTAGCTAAAGGCCAGACATTCACCTGTCTGGTGAGCCTCATGGTGGTGAGGAGAGATTTAACACACACTTTCCTGCTCACTGTGCCTGGGTTTCCAACCTTTCTCCATCTCCCTTACAACCGCTACATTTATTTCTGTGACCCCTGACTTTTTGTGAGATGGTAAACAAACGACATCAGCACCTGAACGGGAAAGTGTAGCCACTCGTTGTCAGGGAGATGTGATGTCATGGCTTGTGAGGGATTCTGGCCTCATGTCACCTGTTCCTGCTGCTTGTTTATGGGCTCTGCTCAGAAACCCGCTGATGACTAATTGCTGCCAGCTCTACTGATCGATGAAGTGGGAATGATCTGAGGCAGAGCTCAGCTTGTTGTGCTGGTAGGGTGATGAGTAGCAATGAGTAGATGTATTTCTGGGATGTTATCAGCGTTTCCTTTCCGACACACATCCTCACATGTAGTGATTAATGCTGTTGTTGTGATATTTTTCATCCTGTCATCACGACACTGTCAGTTATTGAGTTACTGTGTCTTTCTCTCTTCCTCTTTGATCTTTCTCTGCACAGTTGCTGGATTGTTGCAGGTGTGCTCCGGGGACTTAAGCAATGCCCTCATCTCTGACGTTCAGTACTTTAAAGGTACCCACACACCGGCCTTCGCCATCACTCGGCCATTATGCCACACACATTAGCAGTTTCACAAGGATTACTACAGATTCATCTTTTCTCCGGAGAATCACAGCAGAGGAAAAACCTTGACACTGTTCATAATACACACTTGCATCTTGTATTTCAACAACCACCATATCATTAATCAAGATCAGTCCTATAAAGGTTTATAGTAAGAGACTAATGAGCTCAGTGTAAAGGGAATTAGGTGGTTCAAATTGGAGGGAAAAAAGGCAAATTTGCCAAAATGTATTTTCGTGAGAGATTAAATATCTTGTTTGTCAACGGAAATATTTTTCAGTCTGACAAAGATAGTTATTTTCAAGTTAAAATATATTTTAACAGTATCTTATATTCTTTTTTAGAGCAAAAAAACCAATATGTGATTAATGGATACCTTATAATGTCCAAGATTTGTACAGAATAAAAATTTTTGTTTTATAATTATAATTTTTTTACATAAATGTTCTCTCGTGGACAAAAGATGATACAGTGGCACAACTACACAACTTCAGAAATATCACTGCTCTTAATCAAATTGTAATACATTTGTGTTGCCATGTCCCCTTTACCTCAGGTGACTTGATCACCCGACGCCACACGGTGGAGATGTCAGAACAGTACAGAGACCAGCTTGCGAAAGCCATCTATGGTCGCCTCTTCAGTTATCTGGTCAACAGCACCAACGAGTACCTACAGGGACAGGACGACAGCATTGGGTATATCTATGTGTGTGCATGTGTGTATGTCAGTGTTTGTGTTTATGCACATGTGAGCCAAGGTTGTTTTTTTCAGTGTTGACTGCCAAAATAATTTATTTTGAAGCCCTGGCAGTTGATAACTGTTATCATCAAAACAACCACATATTTCTGTCATCACACAAGAGCATTCTCTCATAGGAGGGACTGTTCTCACATTGTGACACAATCACACATAGCATAGAGATGAGGCTAGTAGTTTACATGACATGCACAAATAGGTATGTATGCTGAAATGGAAAGTGCTGAACAGAAAACGGTAGAGATGGAGGACACACCCAAGGTTTATGTGAAAGCCTCTCACTCAACAACTTACACACACACGCACGCGCGCACACACACACACACACACACACTCCTAGGTGGAGGCCAATGGAATCCTTGGTATTGTTTATGTTGTGAAGTCTTATCACACTCTGTCAGATAACTGGCGCTCCATCTTCTGGAATGTGTTTGTGCTTTGCCTTGTTTACACACCAACCTCAAAACATAATAAATATGTCAGCTATGGTTACACCCCTTTAGAATGTGTTATTACACACACACACACACACACACACACACACACACACACACACACACACACACACACACACACACACACACACACACATAATTCCTGTCCGTCATGCAACCATCCAAACACGTTCTCAAGGTGATCCTGGAGTGAAAGTGGTGTAAGATAATACAAATTCTCTTTCTTCCAGTGATCCTGCCCTCGAAATCGGGATCTTGGACATCTTTGGGTTTGAAGAATTTCAAAGGAATGGATTTGAGCAGGTGGGATGATGCTTACTTGTATTACATTTAAGTTAACCCCGAAGAAACCTATCAATGTGTGTCCTCTTTCACTAAAGCCGACAGATCAGGCCAAATGCATTTATGACATTCCCTGAATAATTTTTCCATTTGCTTAGAGGAAATCTCTCTGAACAGAGTGTGGTACTTTAGTTTCACACAGATCTTAATCAAATTCTGACAAATATGTGGGGCTTTTTTCTATTTTAGCCCGGACATTTTAGTCTGTAATGAATTAGATGAGGTCTGTGACGTGATGTTCAGCTATCCTTAAATGAACCGACGGCGGACACAATGAGTGCTCAGTGTGTGAGAGGTTGGAGTAATGGGCAGCTTCAAACCAATGTGTATTTGTCCGTGTGTATGAGAGTCTTAAAGTTTTACATACATTGTTTAGTTCATATTTCTCGGGTGACAGTACAAATCATGTACGTATGCACCTGTTATGTACACAGATAGATCAGCATGTCTGTGATGCTTGGTTGTTTTCGGTATTTCACGGTATGTTATTAAATTGCATTGTTTAGTGAATACAACATGTGCATCTCTCTACTGCTCACCTGTTATTGGCCATTAATCTTTGATGTGCTCATCAAGAATTCACTGTTAATGGACTACTACATTGTAAGACATTGCAGAGGTGAAGTCACTCTGTAAATCACTCTGTGTGTATGCCTTGGTCTGCATGTGAGTGAGTGTGTGTGTGTGTGTGTGTGTGTGTGTGTGTGTGTATCTTGTGTCTTAGGGTGTAATGCACAAGAGGCTAAGTACTCAGAGCTTACGGTTCCTCAATATGGAACTTCCAATCCCCTCCCAGANCATCAAGAATTCACTGTTAATGGACTACTACATTGTAAGACATTGCAGAGGTGAAGTCACTCTGTAAATCACTCTGTGTGTATGCCTTGGTGTGCGTGTGAGTGAGTGTGTGTGTGTGTGTGTGTGTATCTTGTGTCTTAGGGTGTAATGCACAAGAGGCTAAGTACTCAGAGCTTACGGTTCCTCAATATGGAACTTCCAATCCCCTCCCAGACTTTATTAAGGCCTGTGTGTGTGTGTGTGTGTGTGTGTGTGTGTGTGTGTGTGTGTGTGTGTGTGTGTGTGTGTGTGTGTGGCACTAAGATGTCAGTGGCATGAGTCCTACCCTCCATGTTCTCTAATCCAAGTGGAAGCGAGGGATTGCGTGACCTTTCTTCTTCGGGTCACAGAGAGTGCAAGCGCCAGAAGGAAAGAAAAGAGGAGGGGGAGTTAACAAAATGAGAAAAAAGGAAAACTAGACCATCTTTGGCAAGCGGTGGCATTGCCTCATTCAATCTAACCTCTTTTCCTTTGTTGCTGCTGAACGACCTATAAATATCATCCTGTTAAAATCACACACATTACAATATTCATGTCATATGCACAGTAGCTAAAGTGTAGATATGGCAACATCACCGTCCACCCATGGAAAGTCAGAGTGAGATCTGGATAAACAAACTCGATGATCTCTTACAGTCGGTGTGGCCCTCACTCTCTGACATGTTTGTACACACATGCAGACACAGGCTCTACAGGCGCAGCTTGATCAGGTCATGGTCATTAGGGCTTGTTAATTAGAGCTGTGTTGTACCTGCTCAGCACTTTGCTAATGAGTTAACTCAATCAACCACCTGCTGGGACTTAGCCTTTAATGTAATAGACTCCCTTGAAGACAAAGAATAGACAAACACTGATGGAAAAAAACAGGCCCATAACCGCCTACTCTACACACCTTCAGATCAGCACTTATTGGTAGATACTTAGCATTACCCTGAAACTAGGGCTTCATGGCTTTATTTTAGTACTTAACATCAATATTTAGATGTTTTACTTTATTTTTAAGTCATTATCAATTCACCTACAATATTCATGTCATCACATGGCTGAATCTCTGGTATAGCATTGGATTAAAATCCTTTATCCATCCACCCAACAACCGGTAATTGCTTATATTAATGCATGTGTTTTGCTCGGCATCGTTAAAAACAAAGAAAACAACCTTTTGGTTTGTTTTCCCCCTTTCCAACAATCGGCAACCAAAATAACCCTTAAATGGGGCGAAGCCTGCGAGCTAGTTCAGGCAGTCAACTCCAGCACTTACGCTGCATTCATACATAACGCCCCCTTGCCACTCTACAACCAACCAAACAGAGTCTCCTTAATACGCCGCTCTATTTAACCTGCCAGATCTCTCTCTATGAATTGCTTGCTGCTGCTATTGCTACAGCTACCTCTACGTCTGCTGCTTGCCTGCCCCACCACCACCCCAGCTTCCACCTGTAGGCTTGGGGGATAGTTATTTGATCATTACTCATCGTGCTATGTATATCTATGGAGTGATGATGCCCGAGCCTAGTCACCAAACTTAACTATATGCTGCTTCTAATAAACATGTTAAAGAAACCTGTGAGTTGTCTGACTGAATTCAGTTAAATGCGAAACTTTCCTGGCTCGAAACACTTTCCCCCAGTGTCTCTCTGATGCTGAGCAGTTACTTTGGAGGTAGACCATTACATTTGCTAAATAAAATGACAAAAATCTCCCAAAAAAACAGCCGCCGATGTACTCAGCCAACAGCCAATATTTTCAACCATCCGCCCAACTCCAGCCATGACGAAGAAGGATGGATACATCAGATTTTGGGTTGAAAGAAGGGACACCTAAAAAAAACACAGAATGACAAGTTCATTCCTAGTGTACAGCACTATAACTTTTTGCCTGTTCATCTACATGACACTTTTGGGTTCAGGAAAAGTTGAAACTGGCCTGCTGCTGCAGTCTTCTGTGCTGTGTTGTTCCACTTCATATTCTGTGATTTCTTTCATTACATCAATGTGACAAGTCACACTTGAGTCTCCCCTCCAGAGCTTCGCACGCAAGACAACAGACAAACTCATATGATTGACTCCTGTGCTGTAAGTGTTTTACTGCTGGGTTAGGTAGAGTTCATGTGTCCCAGCAGGAACACTTGGTCCATATTATAGTAGGATCGAAAAAGCCCCTACACAGGGACATCCATCAATAATTTCGGGGTCTGGTGTTTATATGAGTAGTCATTTCATTTATGCCCCATTGACTTCCCCGTTGGTGCCCCAGCCGGCTGTATTTGAGATCATATTTGTGCATTTGTTTTCTTTAAAAACAAACATACAGCATGGTGTCTCTGAGGAGGAATTTCATGCCATATGCACTGAAGTGTGTGTTTACAGGTCCATGTGTGTGTTGTGTGCATTCCAGCTGTGTGTGAATATGACCAACGAGCGGCTGAGGCAGTATGTCTCTGAGGTGCTATTCCAGCAGGAGCAGGCTGAGTGTCTGCAGGAGGGCATCGCCATGGAGACTCCCCGCTACTCCAGCAACCAGTCAGCCGTCCTGGACTTCTTTCTTCAGGTACGTTGCTGGTTTAGACCGGTTCAGTCCAGTTAGTGTGTTATGTTGTTATTCAACATCAGCAGAGCTTTGGCAAAGGCTTTTACAAGACTTACATTTAAAGTTGGAAATGATTTCAACAAATGTGAAGCTGTTTCTCTCATTTATATAAAGTTACATTACTGGTAGGACTGGTGGTGTCCCATGTAATGGAGACCTGTCCCTTTTATTGCATGTGACCCTTTCACCTTAGATTTTTTTGTCTGTCTACAATCTTTATCAATTATGACCAAAATCCAAACAAAACTCTCAAACGAATGAAATGCATATGTTATCATAAGGGACGACTATACCCTACGGTGATCAATAAAAGTGTCATAATGGAAATAATGAATTACTATTATTATGAAAAGTGCTTTATGAAGATGACATAAACATGTGGTCTTCTGTTTGTTCCTCACCCAGAAGCCTCAGGGGTTGCTGTGCGTGTTGGATGAGGAGAGCCAGAGCCTGCGGCCGGCGGAGCAGAGTCTGTACAAGAGGCTGTCAGCACAGCTGGACTCATGTCCCACTCACGGTCTGTCTCTAACGACCAAGGATGGCAACGGAAACCCACCACCCAAAGATCAGGGGCCAGCCTTCACTGTCAGCCACTACGCCGGACAGGTCTGTCTTTATTACATTCAAAAGTTTATATGTATTGAGAGGTGGTAGGGCTTGGCATACGTGAATCAGGCACGATTAATTGCTCGTCAATCAATATCTGGTCCATGGAAAACCCAATATATTACACTACAGCCTAGCTCAAATTGTGAACCTAATGCGGACCCATGCCCATTTTTTGAATTCATTACTTTTAATCCTAAAAGACAGTCCAAAAGTAAACATGAACAACGTTTCTCCCAAATCCAAAAAGTGCTAAAATGTTGATGTCATCAAATATGAAGTCTTGCTCTGCTATATAGACAATACATAAATAAACATATCCTAAAATTCCTTCTTATCTTATCTAAATTGGAAAAGATGTTTCACATTTCTTGTTTCACAACTGAGAACACTCCAATGGAATAAAGCTCATTGGGTTTTTACAAAAACTAACCATCGCATCACAAAACATTCACAATATCAGTCGCGCATTTATTGTCTTTGGAGCCGCTCCAGACATAATACTTAAGGAAATCACAAGTTTGAGACCTACTGCTCTGCTTTCTGGCCTTGAGACAGAGTAGCTCATATTGACAAATGCTGATTGAACTCTCCTGGGCCATGGAAATGACATCTTTGGGTTAGACAAATTCAGTTACAACATTTTTTGACTCTCCAAAGCTTTAAAAACAGTCCGTTTACAGAAGAAAGGACCAAACTGACCCCCTCTTTTTCACTACTGACATTTTTCTTTTATCTTAGCACAAACATTAGATTCCTTTTCTTCAAAAACATTAATAATATTGAACTTCAAACTGGCTCATTCCCTACATATTGTGTCTAAAACTGCAATGTAACCAATGTCATTTTCTTATGGAGTTATTGCAATTTATCATAGTTGAGGTTATTGTTGTTGTGCAGAGGCCCATGCTAAAAAACAATGTGTGTGTGCTTGTATTAAAGCTGCCTTTTTCCCTTTATTGGAAACTTTATGACTTTTTAAAAGCTCAGTGACAAAAATAAGGTCTTAAGGTATTAAGACCTTTCAAAGAAATGAATAATAGTTCCATTCAACTATCCGTGCAAAGTACTATGCAGCAGAAAATTGCAAACTACATAGTAGTCATTTTTCATAATATTGCTTTCCTTTAAAAGACTAGATTGCGATTGTCCAAAAGTTAAAAAGTGACAAAAAATAGATAACGTTTTCTTTTCAACTCATACATGAAGATGTTGGAAAGGATTTAAAAAAAAATGTACTAGTGTAAATGCACTGAATATCCATGTGTGATTTGTTTTCCCACCAGATTTCATATGATCTCACAGGATCACTCGCAAGAAACAAAGACTGCCTTCCTCAGAATCTCCTGTTTACGATGAAGTGTAAGTACCAAATGAAAAACACACGTATGAGCACATTGTGGTGTCAGAACACAAAGATGCACTCTTGTTTAAACTAACAGCACACAGAACCACTCTTTGTCTAAGTGTGCTTGTGTTTGTATGTGTGTGTTTCATCCCATATGCAGCAGACAGCTCCGTCTGTGTGTATATTGTCTATAGAAGGTGCCAGATGTGGGGTGTTGTGTTAGCAGGACACAGGCAGTCTTTGTGTGTCTGCCAGGCTAGCCTTGCATCCAGCAGCCTAATTGCTATAATTTCCATGATGAGGCTAATCTTCTAAAGGCAAGCCCTTCACTCACACTTGGCTGTTGTCCCTCCGTCTGACCCAGTCGACGCGTCACCACCATTCAGCCACACACACTGACATACACACGACGTGGTTACTTTTTATGGATGTCATCTCTTCCCCACTTAAAGCTAAAGCCTTAAAGCTAATACAAGAGCAGAGTGATCTATGTAAGTCTATACTCAGGAGGCGGTGGAAATAATTGCTTTAAATGAAAAGACAATTACACTTGAATCTGTGTTTGATTAAATCCTTAAATGAGTGCAGGAGTCATGTTTGTTTTTCTTTGCTTGGTACTTCTACCTGGCACCATCCTTTCTCTTTCCCTCTCCCTCTCTCTCAGCCTTTCAGATGAGATCCACACTCCCACGTTCACACACATGTTGTTAGGCTTTCTGAATGGGCTCGTTGTTGTGGTCGCGCCACGTGTTGTCGAGTGGCATTGTCCGCCCCCTCTGGTTGCCCTCAGATTGTTTACATGGAGACTAACTTTCCTCCTCTTCCTCTTCTTCTGATGCCTCTCTCCTTTCTGTTTACCGATTTCCTGATCTTTCTTTTCTTTCTTTCTTTCCATCTAATTGTTCATTTCCCCTTTCCTTACTCTCCTCCACCCCCTGATTTCCACCAATGCTGTTGCTTCTTTTCATCGTTATTTTCCTCCCTCTCTCTCTCTCTCTCTCTCTCTCTCTCTCTCTCTCTCTCTCTCTCTCTGTGTGTATGTGCTTGGTGCCCCGCAGCCAGTGAGAGTGTGTTACTGCAGCAGCTCTTCCAGTCCAAGCTGACTCAGACTGGTTCCCTGGTGCCAGCAGCGCAGGGCCGTGCCGGGCTGAGGGGGCCTAAAGCCAACCTGTTGCTCCACAGGATGCCACCATCCTCCCTTGTCACTGTCAACAGTGTCCCCCAACAGCCCCGGAGGTACCATGACCTTTCCAAGGTACAGTATGCTGCTCACAGGGTGGTGAATGCACGCCTGTATATGAACCACACGAGCAATGAGTCTGTTGTTGCGCTGTAGCTACGCCCCACTTAATAATGCACCCAAGCATCTTGGTTGTAATCATTAAATATATTCATGCTGTGCCGATCAGAAAAAAAAACAGGAATAGTCCTTCTGTGAAAAACAACAATCTCATTTAAGCGACGTCCCTCCACAGTGCTATTTATAAACCTCGGGGGATTTGATTTGTTTCTGACAGAAACGCCACAGTCATGTGATCAGATGATTTACTTATGAAATGCAGTCATTAAAAAAACTAAAACCTGACAAAAATACTATCAATATTATGTTTTCAATCAATCCTCCCCCTCCCCCTTTTCTCTGTCTTAATTTGATTGCTTTTAAAAGTAGAAAAAGCATATTATACTGGTGCACTTTACAATGAACTGGAGAGGCCTGCTGGTTGTAACCTCCTGGGGGTCCTGCCTGCTGTCTCAGTGTCTCATTAGCCATCTCTAGAGAACAGGCTTACATAAGACCTCTCACCTCCCAGATCTGTGCCAGCAGCCTTATACGGTAACATTAGGTATTGTGGCATTACTACACTAGTTGTAGAGAAGGCAATACATGCCATGGGTTGGGTTGTAAAGCAAAGGAAACAGAATAATTTTGACTGAGTAGTTTAATTGGTCTGTTTAGTGTGCTTTGCAAACATCCTGCACAGAATCAAGACAAAAGGAATCAAACAGTGTTTTGTCATCCAGTCAAAGTCACGTATCATGTGGTGATTATATTGTAATGATTCCATATTTCTCGGTGTCCTCTATGATGCACATCTATCTCATATGTTTTTCTCTCTATTATCTTTTTCCATTGTCAGATCTTGAAGAAGAAAGGATCGAGTTCCTTCCTCCAACGGCTGGAGCGCTGTGGGCCCATCACAGTGGCTGTCCAGCTGAGGGTAAGAAACCCCCCATCTCCCAGTTTTTGACAGGATAAGCCCTATTTCGACATGTCATAAACCATGATGATTGGTTTTATGTTCCATGTTGACCTATTGGTTAGCAGTTGTTTCCCTCAGTCGGATGTTAAGAGTCTGCCGTTTGGAGGGAGTGGAGTTTTGAACTTCCTCTGCATGGGCTTCTCCCACACAGTGATTGTCCATAGGTATGAATGTGTTTGTCTGTCTGAATGTGTTAGCCCAGTGACCTCAGTCTCTCAGTTTCTTTCAGTCCTACTGCGAAGTAGTAAAACATTATATGAACAAAAAAAGTCAATATACAAGTTTAATATATATTTTTCTGCCAATCAGAGAAAAGCAGTATATTCATTTTCTCTTGTCCTACCTGTTCCTTACAGAGTATACCTCCAAGCGTCTGGAACAGATCTTGAATGAATGAAGGGATTTGTTTATGAAACTTAAGGGTTTTTTGTGAATAAAAAAAAAACCATCATCTCAATAAGCCGCTGGACGTATTTGTTGATTGCATTCAGAAGGAAATGAGTTCAGTCTCTGCTGGGGACAGAGGGGGGCTGAAATGTGTCTCAGAGCAGCAGTACCTTTGGCTTGAATGAAGCCACTGTATTGCACAATCAGAGTTGTGGGTTTTTGGTGGACAAGTCCCTCAGGGAATGGCAGGGAAGGAGAGAGTGGGATGAAGAATGAAGCTGTACCAAGCCAAGCATGAAGCCCTCATGAATGAATGAACAATGAACAACAACCACTGTGTGCCGTGCGCATGCACATGTTTGCAGGGAGGAAAGCAATGTAAATACTGGTGGTGACATTCAAAGTTGAGGAGTGAGTTGTTGATCGTTGTACCCAAGGCTATGTAGAGCTCAGGCTGACGTCAGTTTGAGAAGTGTAAGAAACACAGATGTAAGCGTTTACGTAGATGTGCGTGTCTGTGTGGCCCTGGAGGCAGCATCTGTGAATTCAGGGCTGGAAGAAAAACTCTCACACACTCACACATCCTTTCTAAAGAGCTCTTTGTTTTTTTCACTCCAGTCACAAATCCAGTTACAACATAAAATAATGCAGCCAGAGAGCACTGCCTTCCCATGGCTGGCAGTGCACAATAAATGTTGTTAATGCTTTTATGACTGTAAAAGTACACGTGGGTGCCTTCAACTGTATCTCCTCTCCTTTTTCCTCTTTCAGAACACACTGTCAGAAGTGATGAATAAGCTGCAAGCTTGCACTCCTCACTTTGTGGAGTGTGTGCGCCCCAACACAAGCGGTCAGCCCGAAAGTTTTGACAGCTCCCATGTGTCCACCCAGCTGCAGTACATCGGGGTGCTTGAGATGGTGCGCATGATCCGTTATGGATACCCTGTTCGCCTCTCCTTCCCAGGATTCCTCAGCAGGTCTGTATCAGAGCATGTTGCCAAATGATGAGCGCCGTAAAAGTCTAAAGTCTTCTTCTGAAGTTATTGTACTCTTCTTAAATGGGAAAGGTTTTAAAATGGATTCCTCTGATTTCTCTAACTGACGTTTAGATAGATTGCACTCCTGGCAGGTCAATGTGATCTCTGTCAGTTTATATATGACTGGGCGAACAGGTCAAAGCCTTAGTAAAGATGAATGCTTTGTTTATATTATTTTGCCACAGGCCTGGACTATAGGTTAAATGTATTAAAGGGCCCATGTCTTGCTTTTCCGGTTATTACCCGTCACCTTGTGTGTTATGAAGGTTTTTCTGCATGTAAACGTGAGACTGCCAAGGCACACNGCAAGCGGTTCCATCTCCATGATCCTGGCCTGCACACCGGAATATACCCCACTCATGTTCGCTGCGCCATCGTATCCCTGGCCCCGACACTTGCTCAGGTCAAGTCCGTTACTCTCTATGCTGTCCAGGATATTCTTTTGGAGTTCACGGGCTGACGTGTCCACTGTTTCCACGAACCCCAAGAAAGCCTCATTTATCAGGATATCTTTTGCGTTGTCGTTTTCATCCCTCTGGATTGTAACATATCTATACACCTGGCTAATTTGGTCTCTTTTGGAAATGTCTTGGGTGGTGTCCATGATCACAGCAAAAAAACGGAGCATTATTTATTTCTACTTGAATGTCGCACTGCACTCGCTTTGCGATTATGTAGATTTTCATTTTGAACAGCTGGACTCAAGTATTTCACAGAATCTTGTGGTCGCTCAACAAGTTCTTTCAGAACCGGATCGTAACATGCTAAAAGTTCTATCATACTGAGAAAGTTTCCACTGTTGGGCTGTCCAAGAATCTCCCTATGTCCTCTAAAAGCCAAGTTACAAGTGGCCAGAGTGATTGTAACGTTGACAATACGCTCAAGTACCTGTCTCCAGTAATTAGCAGCATTCCTTGCATTCCTCTCCATGTTTGCATCGATTCTCCCGTTTTTCTTCCACTGTTCATATATGACACACGCTCCGACATGGACCTGGGATTGTGCATGTGAGTCAATCCTCGCAGACAAATGTTGCCAGTCACGAACTCCTTTGACAGAACGGTGCACCTCGGTCTGCGAACAGCCAGCACGGCTCATAATAGGCACAGTCCAGGGTGGGGGAGTAACACAGCCATGTCCGTGGGAGTTTGATACCTGCTCTGATAGATCTCAGAGAAACACCTGTTTCCTTGATGTGTGTGTCTGGGGAATGGGCCGGTAGGCCTACATGGTTGCTATAATATAGCCTTTGATCTTGGCTCGGGGGTCTCAATAGCGCCATAGAGTCCCCTATCGGTTGGGGAAGGGGCCCTTGCGGGAACTGTAGGACCACCGCCGGGCACAGCCAAATCCATCCTCTCCTCCTGGCTCATGGCTGGAGAAGAAGGTCGCACAGCCACGGATACAGCTTCACTTGTGGAGCTAGATGATGGTGAGGCAGGTACGCTATCGTTAGCCTCTGGCTCCGGCTGCCGCTGCACGTCAACATTACCAACGTTAGCGTTCGATTTCGAGGACGATGTATGACAAAAAAAACTGTCTAATTTTGTCAGTTTAGCCTTTACATCTCCTTGTTCTCTCTTGTCCTTTCTCTTTTGAGCGCCGCTCTTGTGTTTTGGTTTGCTGTACATTATAAATGCTAGCTATTCAATTTGTTATAATTCTGCCGATCTTGCTGCTGCTATAGCTATGTAGTACATATAACTGTTGATGTTGATTTAACGGTTCGCTCGTCACGCAAGGTATCACATGACATGAAAGGGAGCAAGGTCATTGGACAGACAAATTACAAATTAATTTAGGTTGCTAGGTTACTTTGAAGACTGCGTGAACCAGTCAATGCCATTGGGGCCCCAAAAAATATCATTGGGGGAAAAAAAAAATATATACATTTTTTTGGGCCCCTGGACGGCTGTGGGCCCCGGTGCAATGCACCGGCTGCACCGTCGATAGTTACGCCACTGCTCAGATTGTTCTTGTACATTGTGAACTTAGAAGTTGTTTGTCTATATCAAGCATGGGGGGAACTAAGTGGAAGAGCAGGGAGACATGACAGCTCCAATAACAACATCTGAAATATTCACTTCAGGTATAAACCGTTTAAAAGGGTGCAGTGCGTTGGAAATGCAGGAAAAAGTGTAGGCTACAAGGAGTTCACCTGAGTTCACCCAGTCGAGGCATGCTGAAATTAAACTAATCTTGTTGCCTCCTCTTTTTTCTAATGGTATTATAATTTCTCCATGAATCCATTCCTTGTTAATTTTCATTTCTCTTTGAATTCTGTTACAATATTCAATGCATTTGAACGGAAACATGGCTATTTTCTGGAGTCAAAAGGGAGAAGAGATACAGTAGACAAGCACCAGAGTGGAGATTGTCAAACAGTGTGTGTGAAGGTTGGGTGGTTGCTCTCTTTTTTGCCAAACACTTCCTGCAGGTTGTTACAGTGATATGTAACGTTAGACAGGTTGACAAGGTGTGATTGAGCCACAAACACACTATTAATAGTCTCAGGTGAAGACCTGTGGCAGCTTGGTTGACACACAGTCCTCCATTTCTCCAATTTACCATCTGTCCAGTCAATTTGGGGATTGTGCAGAGCGGGACACGGTCTCATCAAGACTCAAGGAAAAGTCAAGATCAACAGACAGCCATCAAGAGAATGGACAATGATCTTTTCTCAGCTGAAAGGAAATCCCCACATTTCATCTCATGGAAATTGTCAAACTGGTCACCTGCCACCTTGAATCCATGAAAGCAATATTGCGTACGGGACGGGTGCATGTGATTCCTTCGAGGGATCTTAGGGGACACCATCAAATGTGAGACAAGGGGGGGGGGGGGAGGAGACGAACAGTGTGTAATGGTAAAATAGTGAATATATTTTCTGACATGATGGTAAAAGAAGGCAGCACTAAATTCACAGAGTGTACTTATCAACTGTATTGCTCTGTTATTGTAAATAATACAGCTTCTTTGCTATCTTTTGATCTGTAACTGGATGATTTATATATTGTAGATCTGATGCAAGATCAAAGAAAGTGTGGCTAGCAGATGCTCACTGCTCTTATAATGTGGTGGCCCAGCCTGGCCGGGGATGGCCTGGTGAGTAAGAACATCATCGATCATTTAAACACTTAGATGGCTTAGCTTCCAGGGCTCAGGGAGTTCTGTAGCTTTTTCAATCAGCCACAGCACAGGATGTTTCTTAGTGTCGGAAACTGCTTCCAGGCTTCCCTCCAGTGGTCCAGTTTGTCCTGGTGGACGAGTTATATTGGCCCGATGTTTGCCAGGAAATGTACTTAAACAATGTTTGCTCATGAATGACTTATTACTTGATACTAAATGTTATGATACTGAAACCATGTTCACCTACTGGATAAAATACATTGAATCCCAAAAATGTTGAAGCATCACATTTTTAGGAGTAGAAACTGAAGTTTGAAAACTGGATTTCAATTGTATTGCCACTCATTCAAATCCCCATTATTCTTCATTCAGCATTGCACAACTGCCCAGCTCTGGTTTGTGTGCATTGCGTACGAGTGTTTTGTGTTCATACAAATGGACCTTTCTGAGTGTGGCTTTGTCTGACGTGTGTCCCGTTCTGCTGTTTATACATTAAGGCCATGCTTAATTTGAGTGGCTGCCACTCACAAAGACACCAGTCAGCCTGGCCAAAGTGCCATTCATATCTTTCTTTCTTTCTCTCTCTCTCTTTCTCTCCTCCACTGGGTTCAACACAGACATGGCCAATGAATGAACACAGTCTTGGCCAGAGAGGAGCTGCTGCAGAGTGGGGGTGGACTACACTGCCGTCTTCACAAAGCTCTTTCTCACACAAATTCTTATCCTTTCCTCACATGCTCTCTCTTCTCTAAACCGCCTTTTTTTCTTTCATCTCCTTGCCTTCCTGACCCCGAGATATTTTTGATTTCTTTTGTCCTTTCACTCTCTTTATTTCAGTCTTTATCTTTCCTTTTCTCCTCTGCCCGTTTTCTCTCATGTACACGCACACTATCGCAATTTTTCCTCTTTCTATTTGTCACTCTTTCAAAACAACCCTGGCCCTTGACTAATCAAAAATGACAGGAAAATAAATCAACCAATAATCTTGAGGTTGCTATATTCTCCTGAACACAAACACACATTCACACACTGGAAGCACGCAGGCCATTTCACTAAGTCATAGTGGCTGCCTGAAGCAAATTACATTATTGTCCTGGTAACCCGGATGATTTATGAGAAAGTCTATTTTACTGTAGCTTTTATTTGTGTTTTATGATACACAATGTGTTTTATGGCCAGATTTATTTTCCGCCAATGTGTAAGGTCAAATCCTACCGCTTGAACCTTGTTTCTTTCCTCAGTTCTTCATTGCAACAGAGTGGATGAGAGAGACCATCTGTATTCATACAGCATGTCACAAAGGCAGCACACAAGCACTTAGGTCATGTTTTCTATATGGCCAGTTCCAAGTGGGTCCTCATTACCTCCCACTGATGGATAAAGACACACATTTGTAGGTTATTAAGTTACCTAGAGCGGAATATCCATCATTTCAGAGTGACTAGTGGGATGAATATCAAGGACTAGGCAAAGCCAAAAGGATTTGAGAATTTGGCAACTGAAATAGGTGTGTGATGGATAGGAGAAGCTTCAGAGAGGAAGGGAGTGCTTCAAAATCCAGCTGCATTACCTTAAGCATCTTTGTGACGCTCACTAACAGGGATCTGATGGCCTGTTGTCACATGGAACAGCGTTGGTGCACTGTAGCCCTCCATTTAAAATCTTATCAAAGGCTTTATTTCACTTCTTTGACTCCACATGAATCCCCCTTGGGTCTTGTAAAAGCAGGGTCCATCGATGGTTTTCATATCCTCACAGGGAAGGTCATGGGTTTTACAGAGTTCCTTTGTGTTTTATGGGCCCAGTGGGATGGCGTGTGCTGTCTGCAGGACTGGTATTAACATACAGAGAGAGGGTTAGGCACAGTTCAGACCGAACCCACTCCTGCAAATCAAACACATCCAACCTTCACGTGCACTTACTTACTCACTATTGACAACACAAGTGGTTACTGCCTCCAGCCATCTGCTTGTTATATTTCGTCATCGTGATGTCACATCTTCAGCGGGCTCTGTGTCTTGTTGATAACAGAAGAGACCAAATGCTGACTATCCAACTGATATGAAGTTTAACTGTTCTGTGTATTTCATTCAGAAAATATACATTTCCCTTGATGTCTAATAGGTTATACAATTTGCTCTTGTTATAATGAGGTGTGACAAAGAAAAAAAAGATAGGATTGAAAATGTGGGACTGCCAAATAATATTCTTGTGTTGCCCATTTTTTTTTTATCACAAACATCATCACAGTTTAACAAGTGCATTTGAGATTTGTAAAACTTTACAGTAATACTGAAGTCTTTCAAATTTTACATTAACAAATTAATTTACCTACATTTCCTGGACCATTAGACAGGGACGAATTCTCAACCTTTAGTCTTAAAAACAAGAAAGTGTGTCTCCTGTCAACTTTAGTATTTATTTTTTGTATTTAATCAATGTCATGTTCTTGTGCATATAACTATGATCTAAGATGAACTAAGTGTATCATTTTGACTATGCTCTTTTTTCTTATGTACAATTTGGTATATGCTTATCGCACTGTGTTGCTGATGGGTCGTCCTTGAGCAGGTGGCTCGAAAAAGTTTCTGCTAATGAAAAGCACAATATATTATTATACCACTCAGATTTTTTGTATCTGGTACAATTGGGAATTCATTTCATAACCCAGCTTCTGTATGCCAATATAAAGAGCAGTATATTTTCTGTTATTGGATTCTTTTTAAACAGTTCTGCTCACTTTCCCTTTCACCCCCACCGTCCCAGGCACAAACAAACCACTGTCTCCAGCTGACCATTCATAGCAACCGTTGCCCGCGGCAACACCAATAGGAACAGATGCTGTGTGGCTGGTCTGCCGTATGACCCCCACTGAACTTTGAACCCATTGTTTCTGAGAAAAGACGCATTAGCGTCAAATGTTTAAGTTTTGCTCTTCAGCTTCAATATCTCTGTTGTTACCTCTTTGTGTCTCAGATATAAAGATCTTGTGGTCCCGACTTTGGGAGACAAGAAGAAATTGTCCCCTGAAGAGAGATGTCGCTCCGTTCTGCAACAGTCCAAACTCCAGGGATGGCAGGTGTGGGTTTTGCCTCTTTTTCTGTCCCCATCAATAACAAAAGATTTGCCAAATGACTTAATCCCTGACCCTCTATTTGAAAAATCCCATGGAATTTTTGACTACTCGTTCCAGCTGTCCTGCCTCATCATCATTCTCCTCACACACACTCAGTCACACGGCAGCACGGACCCGTCCGCCCCCCTCTCTGTCCTGTCTGCCAGACTGCTGTTGTGTCTGAGTGTGTGACCCTACAGGTCACAGCAGCTCCAGCCTCACACACGCATACAAACTCCTCCACAATGCCTTGCAGACACCTTTTCATCCAGCTCTGCTCAACCCACTCACACAAGCACCACTCCTACAAGTAGCGTGTGTTGAAATGAATGGTGTGTGTGGAAGCATGTCACCCCCTCAGTGCTGTGCACCTGTTATAGGGTGACCTCTGCCACCCCCCAAATGCTCTCTAATCCAGGAAGTGAATGCCGTGTCAACATGCAAACTCCATACCCTGCCCACACTCCACACCCACCTATCATCATCTCTCAACTAACAAGGCACTCTCTTCTGAGATTTCCTGACAGCCAGACTCACAGAAGCTAGCGATGATACCACTGTAGTTTACAACTATGATTTGTGTTGTTGTGTGTGTAGATGGGCAGCAGCAAAGTGTTTCTGAGGTACTGGCAGGCCGACCAGCTGAACGACCGCTGCTACCAGCTTCACAAAAAGATCATCACCTGTCAGAAGGGTAATATCCAAAATAACGGATCAATAACACTTGTTATTACTTGAGTGTTCAGCTGTCTTTCTTTTACTGACACCTCTGACATCTCTGTTTTCCTCTCCCCTCTTCCTCTTCCTCTCAGTGGTGCGTGGCTGGCTGGCCAGACAGAGCGTTCAGCGCAGGCTGTCCTTACAGCAGAAAGAGGAGGGCGGTGTGCAGCGCTTCCTGCAGGGGGCAGAAGACATAGGGATGCGAACCTATGACCACTTGGTCATCCAAAATGCTTCCGACATCTCAAGAGAGAGTGACCGCCTGCGCTGCCGTGGCAACAGCCTTATCAACATCCTTGGCAACAGCCCACCACTTGGTGAGAGGCCTGAGCCGGTGGGCAAGGAGGAGGATCAGCCCATGAAGAGGTATATTAGCAAACAGCCTCGAAACTAACACACCTTTAGTCCGATTGGAATATGTCAATGTGCAGTCAGTCATTTTGCATTTACAAACAATATACAGTTACATAAAACCAAATGAGACGGTTTTACAGTGACTGTATTTAACTTGAAAGGTAATCAATGAGCAGTTACTGAAATGTACAGGATTTATGATTGTAAAAAGCAATCATTGGCCTCCATAAGTGTGTATGTGTGTTTCTGCATGTGTGTGCCTATGTCTGCACAAATGTGTGCTCTTTATTAATGATTGTATCCCTGTGCGGTGAAAGCTTTTCATTGTTAATTTCATGATGAATAGTCAGATAATGATCTGCGTGTGTCAGATTGTATTAGTAAAGTGTTGCACCAATGGAAGGCTGTCCTTATGTCAACCTCTCCGCATGCTAATACAACATATCATTAAATTGGAATAATCCTATAGGGCTACGAAAGGGTTAAAAATGGGTTTTGGTAATACCTCAAATGTAACTTTGGAATTTTAGTACTAATACATCTGTAAATGCAGACTTGGGATGTTTTATGCTTTCTATGGTACGCTGCATTATATATGCATTTATTATTAGAATCTTTTAGCAGGAAGCATTACCATGTGTGTTGATTACTGCCATTGTACCATGATACTGATTTTTCTATCTCCACCTGACAATGATTTGTTAACAAAATGCTAAAGTCTGAAAGCTTTCTGACTAAATATATGTTTATTATATTATAACAATATAAACACATATAGGATGTTTGCTTCTAAACATCATCTTAGAGAAAAAACCAATATTTGTAAAGCCTGTCAAACTAAATACAGTGGAAAAGACTCACTATAGGGTATTAATCAATGAGCAATTGGAAACGATTAAAAGACAATTAGAAAATGTCACCGCAATGCAAGGTACTGACATTTTTTTGCGTGTTTTGATTAATTTATGGAAGGAATTATATCCTGAAAGATGAAATGAGAAATAAACACACATGATTCTGCATCCTCTATGTGTCCTTGTCCATGTAACATCTGCTACTTAGACAGATGCCCAGCAGGAGGAGGGGTGTCTGTGGGCGGACTGGGAGAGAGTCACAGTTGTTATATCGTAGAGGGGATTCAAATTCACCCAAACTCACCTAATTTCTCTGTAGGTTTTTTAATGCCTTTCCACATCACCTGCCCATATGCCCGGCTAACCCCCGCCTGCAATTCTGCAACCAACAGATGGCTCAAACAGATTAGCAAGGGAAATATCTAACAGGATGTTATCAAATTACTGCAAGGAGATTAGATTTAAAGCATAATCTCTTTGGTCCTTATCCTTCAATTGGCCTCCTTAGCTCATATTTGTGGAATGACAGCTGAAGCAGGCATATATTAAGGTTGAGCATTCTGATGATCTAAATCAGGGATCACCAACTACATTTTTCCAAGGGCCAAAATGTATCCAATAGACACTATCGCGGGCCAGCGATTTTTATATAGTCCACAATGCTATTGGAGCACGCTCAGGTACTGCGGACCGCATAACGCTTAGCAGACTCTTCACGCTAACGAAGGATCACTTCTAGGCATGGTTGGGAGGGTTATTTTGTAAATGTAATCAGTTACTGAATACTGAATACATGCTCTGAAAGTAATCAGAATACAGTTAGTTACGTATTCAGATTACTTTTAGAATACTTTTAGAATACTTTCTTTTTCCATAACAGATGGGTATGTTTTGGTGAACAGGAGACACTTATTTTACTGTTTTAATGGCTTATCAAGAGCACAAACACAACATCTTGGTGTCATTCTGGACAGCTCCCTCTCATCTGCACCCCACATAAAAAACATCACCCGGACTGCATTCTTTGTACTGTCTTAAAACAATTCCTTGGAATATGTTATGAATTGTAAGGTGTCCTTGGGTGCTTTGAAAGGCGCCCCTAAATAGAATGAATTATCATTATTATTATCTGAAACGATGTAATAACTTTTAAAACTTTTTCCAGTCGCTTGCCCCATGCATTCAGCAGCAGCAGGCCATTCACTTTGATTTGATCCCGTTATGAAATGTCATCATTTCGACAATAAATAAATGCTACATAAACGTTATCTTGCACATTTTATCTGACCATCTCCGTTTCTAACTTTCAATATATTTTAAAAGAGATCTCTCTCTCATCTGCGTGCGGGGGCGGGGCCTCACAGACACGCTGCATCTCTCTCTCGCTCACAGACAGGCACATGGTACATGGCTGGCACACATAAAGCCATGAGCGATATAAGAGAGCTATGTGAGCGTATGGCGACACAGACCCTTTTCTCTCCGTTTCCACCGTTTCCCTGCGAGACCAGCCAAAGCCCCATATATTGTATATAGCAGGGTCCCCATCGCATTATTCGAT